TTTTTTTTTTTTTTTTTTGTACCAAGGATCGAACTCAGGACCTTGCACTTGCAAGGCAGGCAGTGCCATTGAGCCAAATCCCTGGCCCTCTCATATCCTAATTCTTAATCAGAAGCCCCAGAGAATGGTTTTTCATATGCTCTGGCCTTTTTCTTCTAACTCCACTCATTTGGCGCTATTTCACTATTTGTTCATTCTTTTAACTTCAAAGTAACAAGAGAAGAATATGCAGCCTAAGCCATTCAGTTCACCACTGTGAGTAGCTGGTAAGAAGGCCTTCTGGAAATGGCATTTTTGATGAACATAACTCTCAGTTCCAGTATTAGCCCCACCTCTTCCCCAACTTTTTATCTGTATAAACTAAAATAGCCAGTAGGAAGTTCACTTTATTTGTGTTTATTTATTTACTGGTACCAGGGATTGAACTTGGTTCATTTTAAAACTGAAGGGCTGGGGATTTAGCTCAGTGGTTCCACTGCCTGCTTCATAAGCACAAGGTGCCAAGTTCGATCCCCAGTAGCAAATACAACAAAACAAAAAATGGAAGGAATAAACCACCACTACCTCTTATCTTGGAAAGAGCAGTTTATACTCCCTGGTATAAAACCAGCCAGCACCTGTCACAGGCTGTCCCCAGTGCCACGGGGCCTCTGGTTTCAAGGGCATCTTGTTGACATTTCCAGAGGCGCCAGAGTTCCTGGCTTGCAGCAGGGACTCCTCACGTAGTAGCGCGCATGCAGGGGTGTGGGGCTTCCATGCACTGGAAAACCATCTAGGAGCTCTGCAGTTCAAATTCCGACAATGGAATACGGTGCTTCGGACCGGAGATGGAGCCTTCAAAGGGCCGGGTCTCAAGGACGGTCAGAGGGATGTGGCAGGGAGTTAGCCAAGGCTGGGGTGGGATTTGAGGCTAAGGCTGTTCATATCAGATGTATTTTTACCAGAGAAGCAGAAATAGGCTTGGTCTATACATTTTATACGCTTACAGTAACCCACAAATAAAAGGTAAAATGTCAAATCCAGTTCTCTGGAATAAGCTCCAAGTCTCAAATCTCACGCTCGAATGACTGACTTGAAGTTCTATATATGTGATTGTCATAATCAATTTTCAAGTTGAGAAGCAGAATCAATGTGCCTAAGCTGTAGTCTCCTGTTATTCAACCAAACACTAAGCCATGTGTTGCTGGGAAGGTATTTTATACACGTGGTAAAGATTTCACAATCAAGTCCAGTGTAGTGATACACGTCTGTGATCCAGTGCTCTGGGAGGTTGAGGCAGGAGGATGCCAGATTCAAGAACTTGTCCCAAAAAACAAAAAAACAAAGCCAAAACAAAACAAAAAGATGATGATGGGTTTAATCTCCAGTACCCCTTTCCTCAAACGTCACAATGAGTAGACTTTAAGTATAGCAGATTATCCTAGATAATCTGAGTGGGCCTGATTCAGTCAGTTAAAAGATCCTTAGAGCAGAAAAGGTTTGCCAAAGAATTCTTGGACTACAGCATTGTTCCTGAGAATTTCAGCGTGCATTTCCTGCAGGCCTCCTCCAGACTTTAGACTTAACCAGCCAGCTCCCAACAATTGTGTAACCAATTCCTTGGTGAAGAAAAAGCTCTCACATGTATCTCTACTACTTCTGTTTCTCTGTTTCAGCCCTTACACAGTGACTGAGCCCGAGAACTTGCAAGCAGTACTGTGTACAATTAGGGCTTTAGTATATTTTCTTCTTTGTGGTTTTTTTATATTGCATATTTTATATAATTTTGAATGGTAAACGGTTTCTTAAACTATGGCTTAAACTCTTCATATTGCAATTTAAAACTATTTCTTAAACTTTGGAGCCAGGTTTGGTAGCCCACACCCATAATCCCATCTCCCTGGGTGGCTGAGGCAGAAAGATTATAGGTTTGACGCCAGCTTGGGCAACTTATTGAGACTGTCTCCCAATACAATAAAAAGGATTGGAGGACGTAGCTTAGTGCTCCTAAACTCAAATCTCGAGCTACAAAACTATATCAAACCAAACAAAAATCTCTGGTAGCTCTTTACTTACAAGTTCAATTTAAGAAAAGAAATCAGAGAGAAGGTATAGCGGCACATGCCTGTAACCCTGAGGCAAAGGTCCAGTGTGGCAGGCTGGCTGGGATTAGGCGTGACCTGTTAATTACAAAATCCTGGGCCACACTGGCAAAACAGATCCCAAAGCCCTGCAGGTGGACTTCTCCCAAGAACTAGAGCAAGTTTTTGGTAGGATAACTTGGACCTGACCCAGCCCCGGGAGTGGTGATACAAAAGGGCCATCCATCCACACTGAGCTCTCAGCCAGCTACTGTGCTCTCTCTTGCCTTTATGCTGCAGGAGATGTAGGGTGCACTTGTTTTCCTACTTTTACTCAGCCCAAATTTGCTCTGCAGAGCCTTTCTTTCTTTCTTTCTTTCTTTCTTTCTTTCTTTCTTTCTTTCTTTCTTTCTTTCTTTCTTTCTTTCTTTCTTTTATCCTTCATTAATGTGAAACTTCGCTACCGTTTGCACTTATCTCAACTGATTCTTTGTTCAGGACAGAAAGATCCTGGAAACCATCTCCTGAAGGAGACTCCAGAACCCCCAAACCCAGTGACAATCCTAGCTCTCTGAGAGGTTGAGGCAGGAAGATTGCAAGCTTGAGCCCAGCCCAGGTAACTTACTGTCCCAAAAACAAAAAAAATGGAAGTATCCAGCCCCTTTCCTTTCATTTTTCTAACTTGGAAATGAAAATTCAGGGTTTTTTTTTTTCCAAGACAAAATCTCATTATATAGTCCAGGCTGTCCTTGAACTTATGGTCTTCCTGCCTCAACCTCCTGAGTGCTTGAATTAAAGCCTAGATCACCATGACCTGGTAATTCTCCTTCTGAATAGATGGTTATAAAAACATATGTGTCTTCTGCTTTGACTTCTCTCCCACAGATTTTTATTTTATTTATTTTTATTTTTATGGCACTGGGGATCGAACTTGGGACCCTTGTGCTTGTGATGCAGTCAGTGGAACCACTGAACTAAATCCCGGCCCAAGACTTTTATTTTAAACTGCAGTTGTCCTAAACCATTGACCTCAGTGAGTTCTTTCTCACATGGTTCTCAATAAAGAAATTTACCCTTATAAATATATTTATATTTTTCAATAAATATATTTATATTTTTCAATAAATATATTTATCAACATAAATATATTTTACACATATACCTAAAGCTTTATATTGTTTATATGTAATTTTAAAAAACAGAAATAGAAACAAAATTACACCAAAAAGTATATACAAATAGATTTTCTAATGCTCACCTCCTCCATCTCAGGATACCTTGTATTTATTTCACTCTCCTTAAATTACTGAGCAACAGCTGGTGTAAAGAGAGGACTCAGTGGCTGGGTGTGGTGGCGCACGCCTGTGATCCCAGCACTTCAGACTGAGGCAGGAGGATCGCTGTGGGCTACATAGTGAGACACTGTGATAAACAAACAAACAAACAAACAAAATGACTCAGGCATCCACACTGTTAAAAGCAATAATTGTGCCTGCTTCGATGTGGATTTAATTCTCAACAAATTACCATAACTAAAGTATTTTATCTTCAAAATGGAACACTTAGCCAAGCATGGTGACACACACCTGTAATCCTGCACTGAGGGAACCTGAGGCAGGAGGACATCAAATGTGAGTTCCACCTGGGCAACCTACTGAGATCCTATCTCAAAGTAAAATTTTAAAAGGCAGGGGATTGGGATCTAGTTCAGTGGTAGAGTACACCTGATTTTGATTCTCAATACAAAGAAAGAAAAAAGAACAGAACACTTAGGGTAGGGAGGCAGTTCAGTGATAAACCCTGTTTAGACTCTTGGGGCCCCGGGTTCACTCCCCAGCACAACCACCCCAAATGTTAATAGTTATCATAGGAATCAATAATTTAACCTTTTGATATGTATCCAACAGAAAAAAAAACATGCCCATATACATACACAAATACCCTGCACATGAAATGAAAAAGATCACTGTGGGGACTTCCACAAGCCTACTGGATGAAATCTTACATTTAGGTTAATACAGATCAGACAAAAGTGCCCATAATTCAGTCAGCTGATTTATCACTCAGTTAACACTGCTAACCAAAGTAACAGCCTTGATATCTTAAACCTCTGCAGGAACTTGATAAGAATTAATATATTTTACTCTTAGTCACATGACATTTAACGTCTGTCCCAACTCGATCACTGATATAAAACAGAAGAGCAAAGTAAAATAGAAGGCAGAAGGAAAATTCCATTAAAACGCTAATGAAAAGCATTAAAATAGTTTGCTTTTCTGCCTGTGTGATTGTCACTATATCTACATGTCACATAATACATCGGAGTATTAAAAGGAGAAATATAGTGTTGATTACACTTAATTTGGTACTTCATTTATTGGCAATATAAGGAGCTACATCTGTAATGTTTTGTTTACAACCTTAAATCTCATCATTTTGAAAAAGATTTTTAAGATTCTTTGATTTTTTAAACAAAATGCAAGGATCCCAAGTATCAGTTATAAAAGTAGTTTTTGCTTAGTTTTAACCCTATAAAGTGTACTTAATTTGTAATTTAGAAATATGGAACTCTTTATTTTGTTTTGTTTTGTTTTTTGAGATAGGGTCTGGCTGAGTAGTTCAGGCTACCCTGGAGCTGGTGACTATCCTCCCGCCTCAGCCTCCCGAGTGCTGGGATTATAGGCATGTGTCATCATGCCAGGCCACAAAACTGTTATATATCCCAAATCACTGTGTGTGTGTGTGTGTGTGTGTGTGTGTGTGTTTTCCTTACGCAAACCAGACAGTTCTCATTACATATTAAATAGGAAAAAAAATTAAAATCCGTTACGATGATGATCTACTCAGGAAAGTTTTGGTATTTAAAAATTGATTTTTACATTTGCTGGATGCAAAAATGAATCGCTGTCTCAATAAAGGCCGAGACCAGATTTCATACTACAATCTTTCATTACATACAGTGTGCGTCCTCTGGCGTTGGTCACACTGGGCACCCTAACTACAGCACCATTCTCCTGTCCGGACAGCACCCCGTTCTGGTTCCTGTCCTAGCAATACTTGATTTCTGTTAAACAGCTGCTATCCATGCCATCCTGTGCATAATTCCTAATTTAGGGAAATGTTAAAATATTCTCAAGAGGACATCAAAATGAACATCAAAGACATTGTATTCTGATGGCAAGAACGCTGGAAACAATCAGTACACTATACAGTAAACACGAATGTCTAGCGGAGCGCCAGCCGCCGCAGTCGGTAGAACATTTATTTGCTGGAAGCACTAACATTTATCCTTTACGAACACAATCAAAATCTTTCCATTTCCCCTAAATGTTTTTGCTTTTAAATCAAAAGGTAAAAAACATAACGGTTATCCGAGCCACAGAAACGCCACCGGGTGTTATCAACAATAAAGATAATCTTAGTAGCAAACAACCACACTTCAAACTACACGACGCGAAAAACCGCAGACTACAAATCCCAGAGTTCCCCGGGGCCGAGGCGGGGCTACCTCCGAATGGATAACTCGCTCCTCCAATGGCAGCCAGAGAACTCCCACCAGGGAGAGCGTGAAGGACTGCTCACTCTGCGTTCAGAGCTATGTTATTTTCGAGGCTTTCTGAGCCTCTGTAGTGTCTGGGGCTCGCTTTTGAGAACCAACATATTTCAAGCCCTCAGTAGAAACCTCCCAGTTGCCATAAAAATTTTCTACCTCAGGCCGGGGATTTAGCTCAGTGGTTCCGCCGCCTGCCTTGCAAGCGCAAGTTTCCGAGTTCAATCCCCGGTACAATAAAATAAATACATAAAATTACGCCAAAAATGAAGCAGTACACGCGCTCGCTAACGTCTACAGGTGAAAACGCAAATAGCCAGAGAGCAACACGAATATCCGGTCCACAGAGGAAGAGGCGGAACCTTCTCTTAGTCTTGCTCTTTATTGGTCAAAATAGCCCATCACAACCAATGGAATCCTTGAAACCTCAATTAACATTAGCGTATTGGGCGGTGCTGTGTGGCGCTTTGCGGAAGTTGGATCTACGCAGGCGCAGGTATCCTGCTGTCGTCCAATCGGGAGCAAGCAAGACAGATCACCTCCCGGCAAGCTCCCTGTGCCTCTACGCCCCGCCTCTTTCGTTGCCTGGGCGGTGTGACCCGTTTCTTGCTTCCGACCAATCCGGTGCCTTTTCCTTTGCGCTTTGAAGCGCTGGAGAGGCAGAGAGCAGTTCCGGTCGTCGGGCCTGAGCCAGGTGCGCCCGCTTTTCCTTCAGTTCTGGGTGGGAGTCGCTGCTTCTATTCTCTCAAGGAACGGGCTGGGCTAGGGACTCAGTACGGTGCCCGCTTGGTTAGGAAGCCGGTGTCGCCGAGCTCCGGAGGCCGGGAGCGCCTGCGGTGGGCCTCGTGCGGGGCTCTCCGGAAGTGGGCGCTGAGGTCCCGGGAGCGACGCTGACGCGGTAACCGGTCGCACCGAGAGTTACGGGGAGCTTTTATTGCTCCGGCGGCCGTGCGGCGGGGGGCGGTTCGGGGTTCTGGTACGGGCTCTGGGTTAGGAGACGTGGGTAAGAGTGACGGGACAGAGGACAGTGTGGGTCAGGGTGATGGGTCGAGCTAAGTTCTGGTTTTCTAAGTAAGTTTATGGTTTTATGAAATGGCACCACCTGGGTGAGGTTGGGTTAAATCCAGCTTCCCCGAATTAGGTTTTTTTTTCTTTTTATTGAGTTTATTGGTGCAATCGAGGTATACAATACAGTTACTGTAAGACCTAAAGTCTCACTTCCACTCCACGGAGCGTGAACAGCCGAAAGGCCTCCACCACGATGCTGGGCCCTAACACCCAGCGAGGCTCCGGGAACACGACAGAGAACCGAGAAACCCAGGAAGGAACACACCAGCCTAGATGGTAAAAGAGACCTTTATTAGTCTGGCCAGACGGCACTCCCGGAGCCAGGTGGCTCAGAGAGGCAACTGCTCAGGGGCTGAGGTACTTTTTATAAGGTTTTTCTAAACAAAGAGTCAGGGAATTCACAGAACAAGACTGCAAACACATTGCTTATCTTATGCAGGAAATGTTCTAGGGTCACCTTTTGTCAAACCATTTGCCCCTGGGCGGGCTGTTAACCAAGGTAGCAATTAGCATATGAAGAAGCACAGTCTGGCCTATTAGCATGGAGTCACTTTAGCCTATTCAAGTCTTACAATCCCCACTGATCTTAGGTAGAATCAAATCCTTGATTCATTGTTTAAATTTTTAGCTAAGGGGTCACAGCAATTTGTAAAGGCATCTCTTAACAGTATGACACAATATAAGAGTCTATATCTAGATTGTAGTTCTCCTTCTTCAGCCGTGCGTAGACTCACCAGCTTCCGGTGTGGTGAGAGCAGGGCTTTGAGTGCGTTGTCTCTTGGCCTCCTAGAGTCGGATTCCCTGGAATTCTGTTTTACTCTAGAGTGGTGTAGCTGAGTTTCAGCTACCTTGATAGCTGTGGGAGTAACTATAAGTGACTCATATGGCCCTTTCTATATAGGTCAGAAAGGGGTCCTTTTCTAAATTTTAACATCACAGGGAGGTCTTTTTTATTTTTTTAATTTACCCTTGAATATTTTTTTGAAATACTTGCACAATTTTAACTCCTGTGATTTTATACTGGATAAGCCCTAATGTAAGACCTAAAGTCTCACTTCCACTCCACGGAGCGTGAACAGCCGAAAGGCCTCCACGATGCTGGGCCCTAACACCCAGCGAGGCTCCGGGAACACGACAGAGAACCGAGAAACCCAGGAAGGAACACACCAGGCTAGATGGCAAAGAGACCTTTATTAGTCTGGCCAGACGGCACTCCCGGAGCCAGGTGGCTCAGAGAGGCAACTGCTCAGGGGCTGAGGTACTTTTTATAAGGTTTTTCTAAACAAAGAGTCAGGGAATTCACAGAACAAGACTGCAAACACATTGCTTATCTTATGCAGGAAATGTTCTAGGGTCACCTTTTGTCAAACCATTTGCCCCTGGGCGGGCTGTTAACCAAGGTAGCAATTAGCATATGAAGAAGCACAGTCTGGCCTATTAGCATGGAGTCACTTTAGCCTATTCAAGTCTTACAATCCCCACTGATCTTAGGTAGAATCAAATCCTTGATTCATTGTTTTAAATTTTTAGCTAAGGGGTCACAGCAATTTGTAAAGGCATCTCTTAGACAGCTAAATTGCGGATTAGGATTCCCAGAGCACAAAAAGTTTTCATATTTTTATCATCTGTAGGCTCATAAACTCTTAATTTAGAAGTATAATAACTCATAACAGTATGACACAATATAAGAGTCTATATCTAGATTGTAGTTCTCCTTCTTCAGCCGTGCGTAGACTCACCAGCTTCCGGTGTGGTGAGAGCAGGGCTTTGAGTGCGTTGTCTCTTGGCCTCCTGGAGTCGGATTCCCTGGAATTCTGTTTTACTCTAGAGTGGTGTAGCTGAGTTTCAGCTACCTTGATAGCTGTGGGAGTAACTATAAGTGACTCATATGGCCCTTTCTATATAGGTCAGAAAGGGGTCCTTTTCTAAATTTTAACATCACAGGGAGGTCTTTTTTATTTTTTTAATTTACCCTTGAATATTTTTTTGAAATACTTGCACAATTTTAACTCCTGTGATTTTATACTGGATAAGCCCTAATGTAAGACCTAAAGTCTCACTTCCACTCCACGGAGCGTGAACAGCCGAAAGGCCTCCACGATGCTGGGCCCTAACACCCAGCGAGGCTCCGGGAACACGACAGAGAACCGAGAAACCCAGGAAGGAACACACCAGGCTAGATGGCAAAGAGACCTTTATTAGTCTGGCCAGACGGCACTCCCGGAGCCAGGTGGCTCAGAGAGGCAACTGCTCAGGGGCTGAGGTACTTTTTATAAGGTTTTTCTAAACAAAGAGTCAGGGAATTCACAGAACAAGACTGCAAACACATTGCTTATCTTATGCAGGAAATGTTCTAGGGTCACCTTTTGTCAAACCATTTGCCCCTGGGCGGGCTGTTAACCAAGGTAGCAATTAGCATATGAAGAAGCACAGTCTGGCCTATTAGCATGGAGGCACTTTAGCCTATTCAAGTCTTACAGTTACATTCATCATTGGGGTTCTGTACCTTTACATAATAGGTCTTGATTCTCATTTTTTCCCCTTGTCCCTGCCCTCCCTTCACACCCTCCTCCCCTCCCCATTCACAAACACTTTATTTCCATTTTTTCAGTTTCTCCTATTTTTTTCCTCTCCCTTATTACCTTTCCCCCGCCCTTCCCACTTTCCCTACACCTTTAGCCCTTTACTTCCTATTTCACATTATTAATTATCTCATTAGGATCCTGTGTACTATTATAATTTTTCACTCAAAGAAACTATTCGGTATTTCAGTTAAAGAAATCTCTGTATGAACATTAAAAATAGGGAATCCTAAAATAAAACTAAAAAGGAAAGTAAAAGAAAAGGCAATGATGTAACGTTAAAATAATCCTTAATTCTGGAGATGAAAATGGTCCCTGAACATATTTAAATTGCTTCTTGCTCTCATGGTCTTTCTTATCTTATTCTTTTTTTTCATTATTTACTGAATTAGGTTTTTATCTCCGAAACGGTGTGGCGGGTCTCTGGGAGCGGGGGTGCCGTTTGTGTTTTCATTTTCCTGGGAAGAAACAGAATTAGCGTTGTTACCCTTGTGCGTATTGTCTTCCGCTCTAACAAGTTAAGCGTGGCATTCCACTTTGACGGATGTAAAATAAAGATAGCGGTGTGAAATACTGCTTCCGTTTTCTTTCCTAAATTGAAGTTGTTTAAAAAATGAATACAACATACTTGGCAGTGAATTACTGTTACCAAGGTAGAAGGATCCGGTGGGAAGACGTCTGGGTAGGAGGCAGTTACTGGGTGAGTCGTCCTCAGATTCTTCACTGCGGAGTTATTACTAAAGAACTGCTTCTTCCAGCTGTGATGAGCAAGTAGAAAGTCGATGGAATGTGTGAGTTATTGATGTTTCTGTCTTTCCTATTTTTTCTGCCACACCTGGAGTGGCATTTGAACTACTACTGCACAGAATGAAACTAGTAGCTTGAAGCCCGGTTACACTAGTGTGAAATTTCTCTTCCGCCTACAGGGACCTTGAGTCTGCTGGTCCAGGGATAAGGACGGTTTCCCCCCTATGGGCAGGAGTGAGAAGCCTGGTTTGAGGTCTTGCCTTAGTCTGGTCCCTGTGGCATGAAGAAATAACAGATCAGCCCACATCACTGTGTTTCTGAGTTCTTTTCTCTCACCTAGTATTGGTGAAGTTTCAAGTCATATCTTTGTTTTCATTTTAAATCTTGTCTTCCTCTGCCACTAATATTACAAGTAGAACTTAAGACACTGCTTTTTTGCATTTCCATTGTAATGCTGGAAAACTACATTTTTGGTGAATTCTATGTATTTATTTTCACTTGATAGCAAAAAATGAGAGAATTTCAGTACATCTGAACCAGAACTATCTCCATGTTAAGTCAGTTTACTAGTGTTTTAGAATGGATTATGTGCAAACCAGTGCTACCTATCTTTGTTTTGGAGGTTAGAAGGCTGAAATAATTTTCACTGGGTTAAACTCGAGGTGTTGCAGGCCTATTTATTTTTGGAAGCTCTGAGAGGAGGATCCATTTCCTACTGCCACCTCTCCCAGGGATCCAACTCAGGAACTTGTACTTGCCAGGCAGGTGTGGTGCCACTGAGCTATATCCTGGGCCCACTATGTCCCCGACCCCTTTTCCTACTGTTTTTGACCTTCCAGTGGCTGTCTATTCCTTCTGAGCCCTTCCTTGTATCACTTCAGTGTCTCCTCCTGGCCCCTTCTCTTCTGTAGTCAGATCTTCCTCTGCCTCTTTTGTTGTGATGGAACATTCTTAGGTTCTAGGAGGTAGCACCTGCATGTCTTTGGGGACCGCTATTCAGCTTATCCCAAAGGGTATAAAGAAGGGTAAACCATACTAGGGTATGACAGCTTAAAATCTAATAGGAGTTGTAAGAGAAGAAAGTAAAATTCTTCAACATTACCACAGTTTAGTACTTCTCCACCTTTTCCACTGGACTTTAAAAACAGAGGTAAGTGGATGTTCCTATGGTGGATAACATGAAATCTAAAATACTTTAGAGGAATAAAGGTTTTTTATCTGTTTTGTGCTGCTGGGGCTCTAACCCAGGGCCTTGTGCATGCTAGGCAAATGCACTGCATCTGACCCACATTCCCAGTATTCGGAATTGAAGCAGGGGCTTTGT